CCTTCCCCAGCCTCCCAAGCACTGGGATCACCGGGAATGCGTGCCACCATACCCAATTGGGATGTATACCTTGACGGAAAATCTGTGATGTGGAAAATGGAGCGATGACCACATTGGAGGGTTTCTCTAGGTTCTTCTTTCAGTATCAGAATGAAGCAAGGATCTTGGTGAGGTTAGTCAGACTGTTACCCACTGAAGTCGATGAACTTCCTCTCACCAATAGGCCTGTCTTGGTCAACTCATAGAGCACTCTAATTCCATGGCTTCACTTGTCTCTTCTCTTCTGAGTCGTTTTTTGCAAGTCACCCCTTTGTGAGTAAAGGATGGATTAAAGTGGCCTGTAACCTAAAGAACAGGGTTCTAAAAATCCAGAAATGTCTCCAATAAACAGGACAAATAAGCCTATGAGAGTGAACACACCTTCTGTACCCTTTCATAACAACATTGTATGTAGTACAATGACACCCTACTTTCTCTTTAGACTATATATATGATTGTTTTTGAGACACGGTCTCCCTGTAGCCCCAGTTGGCCTGGAACTCATTATGTAGACCAGGCTGGCCTTGATCTCACAGTGATCTGCCTGCCTCTGCCTCCTGAGTGCTGGGTTTAAAGGTGTGCACCATGCCTGTTAAGATTATCCTTTTGGTAGAACACCAGAAACCAGTAAAAGCAGAGAAAATTGCCAATGGAGAGGAAGTCCCTGTGACTTCATGAGAAAACTCAGCTTGATGGACTTTTCTTCAGGACCACATGCTCATCTGTTACAAAACTAATCACAGAAATGATCTCTCTTTGTTTACCTATTTGTTCAGGACACACTGAGCTCTTGTGTCCTGTTTTCTTAATCTCTCCCTAACTGCAAATCTGCCAACCACATTCTCTATTTTCCTATACATACAACATATTTCAGAAGAGAAAACAGCTTTCTAAAACAAAGGGCCAGAAAGACACCAGCAGGGTCTGACCCAGGCCTGTTCCAGGCTCCAGTGTTCTCTACTACTACCCAGGCCACATCCACCCTGGGAAGAACTTTTACCTGTGACTACAGTCTCCAGAGATTTACTGTGTAATAAGCCCAAGAAGAGACTGTAGCTCTCAGATACAGAACAATTGTACTGTGGACCCAGGATTGTGGTGAAAGGTCCATTAGGCTCAGGAGTGAGACTGGCAGTTTGAATGGGATGAACTTGGGATGTGGTTGACAACATGGAATCACGTCCCTTGTAAGGAACCAACGGCTTAGCTGGACTGACATGGAGGGCTTGACAGGACCAACTGGGAGGAGCCTGTTTCTTCTTCTGCAGCAAGCAGGAACGGACCAACATTGGCACATGAGCAGGATGTGGTCACGATAGTCCCAGTTCACACTCTGCAAAGGTTACTGTTTGCTGACCACACAGTTTATTCTTACTCTAATGTGGTAAAGAGTAGGGGCCCTGTGAAACTGTCAGAGATCCAGTGTTCAACATACCAAAGCCCAAATGAACCCCAACACCCACTAACATCTCCATCAAAAGTTCTATGAGCTTATCACTGTGCTGTACAGATATCCAGAACGTCGTCATCTGGTGCAGCCACACTGTGATCCCAGCAATCAGCCTTTTCCCACACAGGAAGGTAGGGATTTGGACAAAATCACTGCACCATGCACTTAAAATCCATAGTGCTAAGGAAAAATGCCTAGATTGACACATGTCTTCTATGAAAAGAGAATGAGTCTTAGCCTCTTATCAGCAACTGAGTGATCTGTCATTTCTGGATTCTACATACAAAGAGTCACATTATCTTCATGGCACTGGATTGGTGATGTTGGCACAGGCTAAACTCATGTTGGAAGGTTTTTACACCAGAGATTCTATAATGAATTTTTTCAGTAGGTAAAGTTCCAGAATTAATAACAACTCAGAGGTGCACCAATAGCATAGTGTTGGACAAATATTATATAGGAAGGGAAGGAAATGGATCTGAAATTAGAAAAGCCCCAACAGTGTGGACATTAGAAGAGAAACTACAGTCACGTGGAGCATAGTGTCGGCATCATCAAAGTTGTCTGAGAATCCCAGTGGAGTAATGGCCATTTAAGTGTTCAATGATATAAAAGCTCACACTCATAATAACTTCAAAAATTTTAAATTCTGGTGGGTAACCAAGAGCAGGAACAATGGCCAATGTTGTTTGAGGGTCTATGGACTCTGGTCAACAGCTTCTAGGAAGGGATTCTGATCCTGAAACTGAGGGCTTTTTTTTTCATCAGCCTATGATGTCTAGAAGGGCAATGTCCCCCTGTTACAAGGTAAATCCTTTTAATCTATTTTTATTTGTATATGTATATAGTATAAGAAGCTTCTATAGTGGTAGGTTACATTGAAAGACATTTAGGAATGCAAATTATATTCTATAAGCCCTATATACACAATAGAGTACATTAAGTTGGGCGGGGGACAATTTGGAGAGGATATAAATCCCATCAAATTATTTTGTATGAAAATCACAAAAAATGGAATAAAAAAGAAAAAATATCTATGAATAAGCTTAATGAAGTAGGTTATAGACTTCTACAAGAGGTTTTTAAGAAAGAAAGAAGATCCTAGAAGATGGAAAGAATCCCCATATTCATGGATAGGCAGACATATTATTTTTAAAATGGATATATTAATAAAATCATCTACAGATTTAATTCAGTCTTCATCAAAATCCCAATGAAATTCTTCACAAAACTAGGAAACACAATCCTAAAACTCACATAAAAGCACAAACCGCCAAATATCCAAAGTGCCCTTCACCATAAATCAACACTGGAGGCTGCCACACTAAGTTTTCCCCTTTTCTCTTCTTGGGAGGCTTGTGCTTGTGGAGGCCCCAGGGCTCACAGACTAACATAAGACATTTTTAGTTCAGGTTTTGTAGCGTTTCTTTGGGAAGGAGTGACTTACAAAGAAACAGCTTCTCTTGCCCCTGGCTGGCTTACACTTTTTGGAGGAATGGGCAATTTGGAGGCCACAAGGTGTTACAGCACCTGAACTAAATTGTATTCCAGAGCCATAGGAACAAATGCAACATGATAATAAAACAAATATTGACATCCAGACTAATGGACTAGAATGTGGCCCAGGAGTAAATCCACACAGTTACAGCCAGCTACTTTTTGACAATAGTTTTTAAAAATCCATTGGAGTGATGGCAGACTTTAACAAATGGTGCTGGGCAAAGTGGATTTCCACATAGAAGAATGAAATCTGATCCATATTTGTTACCCTATGCAAAATCAATTCAAAAAGAATGAAAGACCTTATTATAAGTCCTGGTACTTTGCTGATCCTAGAGGAAGAAACAGGTAAAAGACTTTAAAATATAGGCATAGGCAAGGATTTTCTGAATAGAACTCAACACATAGAAACTAATCTCAAAATTGACAGATGGAGTTACATGAAATTAAGACACTTCTACACAGCAAAGCAAATAGTCTTCAGTGTGAAGATGGCATAAAAATGCATAAATATCTTTGCCAGGCACATCAGAGAAGTGATTGAGAGCTCAGATATATAGTGAATATATTTTAAAGTCTTTTA